TTTGTGATTTGAAGGCTCTTTCTACACCCAGTTTTCTGAAAAATGGAGAGAGAAAGGGTTTTCTGGCAGGGGGCCTAGTTGTCTATGGTATTGCCCATGTCTTGGAAACTATTTCATTCCTTTGCTCTAATGGGATAATCTTACTTTTGCCTGTTCATTCTGCCCTTCTGCTGGTTCTGCCTTTATATAATCTGTAAGATTTGGATTCTAGAGTACCTGAAAATTAGGGCCAACTGAAAATCTTTTGATTCAGTGCCCAGCTTTTTAAAGTTCCTAATCCTTAAAGGCTTTAGCAAATGACTGGAGTTTAGAAAACATCAAGCAGACATATTTCATTCTTGGCAGTTCTCCAAACAGAGATTATTTTTTCAAGCCCCCATGTTGATTGCTGCCAAGAAAAGTGATAGTTTGATGGTGTGGCCTTATTGTCAGAGGAATACAGGCTTTTAATTATTTTTATGAAGCATGTTTAACTAGTTGTATTCAACAGAAGTTCCCTGATATATTTCCCTTTAGGTTAACATCCAAATCAATGCGCAACAGGGATTTCTTTAAAAATACAGCAGTTATGGCTTATAATTAAAGAATCTAGTTTTTATAAGACAGTATGATTTAATTCTTTTGACATGTTGACATTTCTTATTGAAGTGGCTCTTCAAGCCCCATTGCTAAAACAGCTTTGCATATTACTTCCAGGAAAATAAAACATTGTGATTTAAAGAACCCAAAGAGAAACCACATGCATACATACATGCTTCATTTTTGTGATACTGCAGTTGTAGAAATTGACAAACGGAAAAAGTAATGAGTTAAGAACACATTTTTATTTATATGGCCTAAAAATGTAATTTCCTCAGTACACATTTCCTCAGTTTTAGAAACGTATACAATTTTAACTCAGCACTCAGGGGGCAGAGGGATTGGACCAGGTATTCATAAGTTTACAAACTTTCTATTTTTTCTAGTTTATAATGCGATGCAAGAAATCTGTCATCAGGATCTGCTACTTATTTTTCCACTTATTCTACATCAGAGAGAGGCAAGCTATTTGGGTTGATAGGCACTTTTGAAATGTTGAGAGGATGTCACTGGCATGCCTTCACAAAATGATTATTATAAGTGGGAGTTGCCTATTCACAAAATGGCTGCTACTTAGTCATGGTTCGCAAAACATGTATGTTTCAGAAGACCAACTGGGGGGGGCCGCTGCTGCTGCCACTCCCTCTGGTACCTCTGATGCTACCTACCTTGCACACTTTTATCTCACAGCTGGCACATACTCAAAACACTGAGCTATTGTTACCAATCATTTGTATTTCTAAGTATGCTGGTGGAGCTGAAAATTAACTTTGTGAAAAGCAAACAGAAATTTGTAGATGTTTGCCTTTGCTTTTCTGTATACTAATTTCCTATTTTATTAATGAAATGTTTCTGGAAAAGGAAATTAAAGTCAGATGGGGCAATCCTGGAAAGTGTCAAAGGAGGTGTCTACAAGTGCTGGTGCCCAGAGGCACTACATTTCCTCCTGCTGTTCAAGATCAAAGCTGTCTGGGAAGGATGGGTAAAACTGATTGAAACTGTAGAGCTGAGAAAAAGATTTTAATTAAAGGTTTTAATTGAGACTATTTTTCTTTTATGGTGAAATACTTATGTCTGTCCAATGATGAAAATCAGCAATGAAATAATAGTCATCTGCTTGGCTAATCTCTCATTTTCCCTAAATCACTCTTCCCCAAAACATGTATCTGTCTTGTATGGGAAAACATGCACTCAGTTACCCCTTTATTTTCTCTGTAAAACAAATAACAGCTTTGAGGGAAGAATGTAGAACTCAAGAACTTTATAAGATTAAAGGGCTAAACAAGTCAACAGCACTATGACTGTAATCAAAAGCCCATTTTCCAAACTCCTCTAACCTCTTTTAAAATTAACTTTGCTTTAATAGTTGTATTCTTGCTTTATTGACTTGTTTTATGATAAATGGTTTTATTGCTTGTTGCTCTTTTTTATATACCATTCTCGGCTCCTTTAGCAGGAAGAGCACTATAGAAGTAAAATAAATAGCATTAACAAGCATAGGAATCTGGGGAGGGGGGTGGCAAGGGGAGACAAGTGACAAAACACATGTCATGATGCAAACCCTGACTTACGTACTTTGGCTAGATGTTGGGATGCAAGTACTTAAGGCTAGGGTTTGTGCTGTGACATCACCATGTGCATGTTGTCATTTTTCTGTTATTGTGGTTTGCTGTGGACACTTATTGCCGCTGTAGTTACAAAGGTTACCAATCACTGATACCCTACACTGCAATTATCTTACTCTAAAAGTGACAATGAATTCCAAAATTGGCTGTGGCACGCGTGTGTGTGTGTGTGTGTGTATATATAAAATATCAGCATAGTAATTGGTCCAGTAACAGGTTCGTTGGCTCCATTGATTTATTTCTTGTGTTTTGCTATTGGCTTTAATAGATTCTGGATCAATTAATACTTTTGGCTCAACTAAAAATAAAAAGATCAGCTGATTATATGGTATAAGAAGTTGTTTTCTTGTAGATTTTTGTAGAGCTACAGCAGAACCTTTGCTATGAGTCTGGTCACATCAGCTCTAGTTACAATTCCATGTGGTTTTCAGCAGGATTCTTTATCTTAGTTATCTGACATTTGTCATTGATCTAGAGTTGCTTTGTTTAATATGAAGTTAAGAAAATAAGTAACTGCCATCTTTTTATGGATGGGGTGCTAATTCCTTATCATATTCCTTCACTTTTGTCAAATAAAATGAAGATAGGTGTCTGAAAATTTTATTTGATCATTTTTTTCTGCAAGCAATTGCTGAAGCTCCATAAACATCTTTCAGGAAAAGAGATACATGCTATATCTGTATTCAAAATGGACCAAAATATTGTTTTTTGGACTAGTTGTGTATATGTGACCATTTTAAACCTATAGTGTAGTTGTTTTTCTGGGGAACTTCCAAAGGAATAACACTGTAACTTTAAGCCTTTCACAGTACTGTCTGATCCATGCTCTTGCATTTTTTTGGGTTAGGTTTGTAAAAGGCTGTTAGCAATATTAAACAAAACTGAAAGCAAGCAATATTTGTGCCATAAAAAGGGCAGGCAGAAGTTGCACTAAAAAGGGGGGGAAAACATCAAAAGGTTGTATATTTGGGAATACTAATATTCAGATTAGGATTCTTAATGTAATAATGGCTCAGTACAAAGAAAAAGAAAACTGTCTACATCTAATGAAGCTTCAATCTTATCAGAATAAATTCATTTTAATAGTATAACTACATAAAGAATTTCAGACAGAATGATTAAGTTCAAACTAGTGAAATATTTGCAGAATAATAAGAATGGTGAGATTGTAAATGTGAGCATAAGGCTGTAGCCAGTTGGAGAAGAAAATAGAGATTGTGGCTCACCAGTATATTCCAGAGACTTTGGCTGAGTTCAGATATAACTACAGATAGCATCTTATCACATGGCAATAGGAGGTTCTGGACCCAGAATATGGAAGAAGGTGGAACCAGCCTTATCAGAGCAGGTGAAGTCTGGGCAAATTTTTTGAGTCCAGTAGAGGTACTCAAAAGATCTTGGATCAGTCAGGTTTCACTTGTCTAACTTTAGGGCTAGACCCAGAGAAGACTGAAGAACCCAGAGTGCAAAGGGCATAATTTTCTTTCTTTTTATTTCCCTGTGCCATCAACTTCAGAATATTTCAGATCTCATTCTTGGAAGAAGAAACCAAAAGAAAAGAACAAGAACAAGAACAAGGATAGGGAATATGGAGAATCAAAAATGCAGGCGGGAGGAAATTTTTCAGAATGAGAAATGTTGTGGTGAGAGGACTTTCCATTCCTCTTCAGTATTCATGGTGCTTAGTGGGAGGACTAAACCAGCACCACAACCAGGCAGACAGACATGGCAATTTCTTGCTTTACCATAGTCCCTTTCTTTGGCTTTCTGCTGCTGCCGCAGAGCTGATGGAACACAGTGTTCAATGGAAGTTTTCCTTGTACACCCAGTGCTGATCTAACAATCCCACTTCCAAATCTGTTCACAGATGTTATCAAGAAAAAATGGGCTGAACTGACTAAATGTAAGACACCTTTCTTCTCTGACAAATTGTAACTCCCAGGAGTACATGGAATGACCTGGGACTCCATCTGATGGTGAACCAATTACAGTTCTCATTGCAAAAGAAGTACTTGCCATGAACAATAAAGGAGAGTACTAACTATGCAGATCATTAGCCTTCTTTCTGACTAGAGAACAATCTTCAAGTTTTTTTATACTGGAGAAAGCTAAGGAGCTGGTCACTGGGACCTCAAGACCAACAACACAAGTATTTTAGCAGCAGCCAAGATAAAGGAGGCAAGCCCCAGAGTAAACAAGCTTCTAACCAATGCCATGACTTCCCAAGTGGACAAACAGTGTCAAAGATTTTGGACCACCTTGGAACAGACCAACCAGGATGTAGGTGCAGGAAATGGTCAGACAGGTATGTGTTCAGGAATTCAGAGTTATACCAAGAGACAGGTTTCTTTTGTTGTCCATTTCCAAGAAAGCAGAAAAAGCATCTCAAAATGTTAGAAGAAAAACACCATCTTCAATAATAAACAATACCATAGAGCAAATTCTAGCTTTATTGAGGCTTGATGGCCTATTTTTCAACTTTTTCATGGTTCCAAAAAGGAATGGGATCTGGAGAGGCATTTTGAACCTAAAGGCACTGAACAATTTCATTGGGCCCCAAATGAAGCTATCATTTGGAACAATTTTTTGCGTCAATAGACCTATCCAAGGTGCACCTTCATCTTCTTATCAGATCAAGGCACAGCAGATTCCTCAGATTTCCTTACAGAGAGTAACAGTTTAAATTGAGGCCCCTTCCATTTGATCCTACATTGGCGTCCAGAGAGTTCACAAAATTAATGGCAGCACTACTTGGACATCTGAGGACCCAGGGGATCCATATCTATGCATACCTACATGATTTGTTCATTAGGATATCCTCTAGAAAAGGAGCAATTGACAGTATCAATCAGACTATTCAGTTCCTGTACAAACAAGGGAGGGATCATGAGAAATTGAGAAAATTTCTTACCTTCCTTAGGGCAGATATTGCACCTGGGGGTTCTAATACACACCAAGAAGAAGAGAATTTTGTTTTGCTTAGAGCTCAAGAACACGATATGGGAGTCCTGACATCCAAGAGGAAATTGCTCATAGCCCTTGCAAGACTACAGGGAATGATGATTGGGGTATGGGACTCTGTACTGGAGGCACATTTCCATGCCAGACCACTTCAGTGGTTTCTGTTGCCATTCCAGGAACAGATCACCATCAGAGTTTGTTTACTCCTAGAAGTTCCAGAGAGTGTGATCAAATCCCTGCATTGGTAATCTAATCCACCCAATTTATCTTGGGGAATGCCACTAAGGCAGCCGGTCAAGGAAAAGATTGTAACAAATGCTAGCTTAACAGACTGGGTAGCTCATTTGCTGAACCGCTCAACTCAGGGGCGTTGATCCCAGTATAAAACCCATCAAATGGATTTGAGGTCATTGCATTTGGTGTTGAAAACACTGGCTCACATGATAGAGAGGCACCATATACTGTACTACTTTGGATGGGCAACATTTCTAAAGGCTTATGTAAACAACCAGGGAGATATAAAATCAAAGGGACTCCAAAGGGAGGTATCTCATCTGTTCCCGTGGTTGGGGAGCCATCTGTTGTAAAGCAAGTGGAAAACAGAAGACTGGTTGAGCCAACAGAGCTTTTCTAAGGCTGACTAAGCCTTTATTCTTAAATCTTCCAAAGAATTGCAGACTATCAGTTTGTTTGCTGCAGCAGAAAATATTAGTTGCTTCTTTTCTTGCTTTCAGGATGAGTTAAACAGGATTCATGCCCTGTTGGCTCTTTGGCTGGAGAGATTGCTGTATGTGTTCCTGCCAGTTCCTACCTTGACAAAAATAATTCACAAAGTAAAGATCTAATCACTTCTTTCTGGCCTTGGAGGTCTTGGTTCTCAGCTTTAGTTACAATGAGTGTAGTGGAACAATGGCATCTTTTTTTGTGTTCAGACTTTCTGAGTCACGGCTCCTTCCTTCACCCAAACATACAGTGGCACCATCTTTGTGCCAAGAACTTGAATGGGAACACTACCTGAAGGCAGACCTATCATCTTAGCATGCAGTTGACCAAGCATGGTGAAAATCTACTGGAGGACCTTTGAATGCTGTTGCATGGGAAGAGCTGGGAATTACAGAGAGTTGCATTTCAGAGCTGCTGGATTTTTTTCAGATGGAGTTGGACAATGATCTGAAGGCCAGTGCCTTACAGAGATAAGTGGCTGCCATGGGCTCTGTACTTTGGGATGATCAGTGGAATCCAGTTTTAGGACATCCTTATGTTAGACATTTACTTTGGGATGCCAAACTAATCTCCCATCCTGTTACTCATTTTCCTCCTTGAAATTTAACATTAGTTTTGAGGGTGGTTATAGTTGTGCTCTGTGTATATTAGAGAGATTCTGATCAATATATTGAGTTGGAAGACAGCTTTCCTAGTGGTGGCTACCTTATCCTGAAGCGTTGGGGAATTGGGAGTTTTATATTTTTCACCAAACAGTTGAATCTTGTTTCATGCCAAAAGTTAATTCCAAATTTCATAGTGGGCAGGGGATAGTGCTACTTAATATTTGTCCAAATCCTAACCATCTCAAGAAGTGCATTTAGAATAAGGTAGTCATATACAGAATCTTAAGGGTTTCTCTTAAGAATACTTTGTGGAAACACAAGACAGACAGTTTATTCATATTTTATAAGAAAGGAAGTATAGGGAGATGAGTACTGAGATCCTCCATCAGCAGACGAATTAGGGAATGTATTGCCCTGGCCAATTCTTCTAGTATCAAACATGTTCCATCATGGCCCACTCCATTAGAGGAGCAGTAGTTTCCATAGCACTGGAAGTGGATGTTCAGTAGAGTAGCAACTTAGGCTGAAGTGACTACTGTTATTAAACATTACAAGATTGGAAAAATTAACTTCAGTGAAGGCTGTGTTTGGGCACATGGGCACATTCTGTCCTACTTGGGCCAAAATAATTATACCTTCACTATATTCCTTTCTTGCCAGCTCCATCTTTGGTGATAGAGTATGGCACTTGGACTTGATCTGAGGTACCATTATGGTCACTTGAAAACAGATCCAACATTTCCACCCAGTTTTTACGATTGGTCATTGCTTTTATATTCATTGCTTGTTCATGTTCTGGTCCTTTATAAACTCGATTGACTATGGGAGCTTGGATTTTCCTGCCTTTTCTTATTAGATTTATAAGGTGGCACAGTTTGCAAGAGTGAGTGATTTAAACTTTGAAGAAACATCAAAACAAGGAAGTAAAAATAAAATAAAATGCAATATAAAATAATGTAATAAACCTTCAGGACATAAAAAATCAGCAACAGGATAACAATAATAAATATTAAAGAATCTGCCAAGGCCAACATATCTCATTCAAGAGTCTTATACTCTATACACACTCTTCCCATGGTCTGCCTAATGCTTGTGGGAAGAGCCAGATCTTCAGGGCCTGACAAAAGGGTCAGGGCCATCCGAACCTTGGGGAGAATGATATTCCATAGGGCAGGTGCTGCAACAGAGAAGGTCTGCTTTATCAGTCCCTTTAGGTGACATCGTTTTGTGGAAGGGACCCAAACTCTCATGGAACAACTGGTAATTGGAGGCAGCTGGTCCTGCAAGTAACCCGGCTCTGTGCCATGAAGGCTTTATAAGTGATAACCAGCAGTTTGACATGCACCCAGAAGTGTGTAGGGATCTTTTGCTGCTTGCGAAGCAGTGGTGCTATGCTGGTGGACCAAAGTGTGTCTGTAACTACTCATGCTGCTGCATTCTGGACCAGTTTAGTTTCTGGATGGTTTTCAAGGGCTGTCCCATGTAGAGCACATTGCAATATTCTACAGAGGTGACTAGGCCATGAATAACCAAGTGTAGGGCTCCCTGATTCAAGGAATGGGTGAAATCGGCACACAATATAGATTTGTGCAAAGACTCTCCTGGCCACATTTCCTACCTGTTCTTCTAGCAGGAGCAACAAGTCCAAGAGGAACCCCAAATGGTGCATCAATAATGTCTGGAGGAGTGTCTGCATACAGGACTAAAGATGGGGATTCCCCATTGTCAGAGAATCTCAAAACCCATGATCACTTGGTCTTGCTAGGATTGGGCCAAAGCCTGTGTTTCTCCATCCAGACCCCCAATACTGGAAAAGAACCTTGATGGGATCACTCAGTCAGCCTAAGGTGGAGGCAAATAACTGGATATTGGCATATTTCTTAGAATCAATGAAGATGTGAACAGATGTATTTTTGCATCAAGTCAATGGGACAACTGGGAATTGGGGGGGATGTCCCTCAATGGGTTGCAAAAGTTTAGCCTTGACTGGAAGAGATGGAGTTAACCCTTTCCTCTCAGGTTCATTTTATGGTGCCCAGAATGGCACTTCACAGTAAGTCCAAGTTGGGAACTGTTTTCGTGAAGTATAAAATAGCCTTATTTGAGTCTGGCATGTTACATGAATTCAGCTTGTGTAGTTAATCATTCACTGTGTCATACAAACCCAGGAAATTGAATCATTTAATAAACTATGATTCAGTTAACTGCAGGTAAACAATATGTGAACCAGTGATATCATTTTGTTACTAGATCTAATAGCTACTATTCTAGAATCATGGAAATAATTTTGAAACCTCAGACTTTGGTGAGAAAGCTGAGGTGCCACCAATATTGTAGTCTGCATTTCTTATGTGAAATGTCACCCTTTGTCTCCCACTCAAATCCCAGCGGAGGGCTTAGAAGGTTAGGTAAGCTCTACCTTGTGTTTTGCTTTGTAAATGCTGAGCGAAAAGAGAAACGGTAATACTACCGGTTAAACGTCTGAGAGGTCATTATAGCCTGGCATTGCTGGGTTCTTAAACCCAGCAGGCACGCTTTGGAAGGCACGCTTCAGCCCCTCTTGGGATTTGGCTGAATTGTGCCAGGAATCCTAGCTATTAATGATCTTGTCGATTTATCCTAATTTGTGTTTTAAATGCTACAGTTAGAACTGTATATCTGCATTTTAGCCGGGTCTTAGAAATTGGCCCGTGAAAAAAAGCCATACTCGCTTTTAAAACGATGAATAGGCAGGTAAGGGATGAGCTTAAATTGAGCGCCTTTAACGTTCCATAAAAAAAAAAAAAAGCTTTCTTCCTCCAAACTTCGTCAAGGTTCTAGCCGGCAGAGCAGTGGAAGCAAATGGTGGTTGGTCCGCCGGGCTGTCCTTCTGGCTTCCCTGTTCTATTGTAGCTCTGCCCATACCTGCTGGCAGAGAGCAGTATTCGAGGCGGGGCTTAGTCCAGGACGGAAGGCGGGGCTCACCGACAAGAGGAAGAGAACTCCGTTCCCTAGACCGGTGAGGCTGCGGGTTGCGGGCAGGTCGGTACTCCACCTTGAAGGAGGCGCATGACGAACTTGCAACTCGCGGGGACTCCCTCGGCTGAGTAGAAGGAGGAAAGAAACGCCAAGTGTCTCTCGCCTACTAGAGCGGAGCCTGTGACCTTGCGCAGTGGAGGAGAGTGGCTGTTCCGAGAGCGTGGAGGCGGCGGAAAGAAGCCGCTCGGCGAAGAGGATCTGCTTTGCTGAAGGTTCGTCCAGGTAAGGAATTGAAGTGCTGCGAGCAAATGGACTCTGAGATCTCTTTCCCCCTTCTTATTTCCTCAGCTCTGCACCTTTTGCCCTTACTGTTGCAGCCCCAAACTCTTTGGCTGTAATCCGGGACACTCACCTGTGAGAAAAATCCTTGGAAATCAGTGGGACTTCCATCTGAGTAGGAGAGCATAGGATTGCGCTGTATCTCCAATGCCATATCCACAAGTCAGGATTTGCAAATGGGCGCCCAACAGGGTGTTCTCGAGGGATCCACAAAGTAGAATTTGGGCTCGCATCTTCTTAGACCGATGATCTCTGACTTTCTCCTTCCTGTGCCTTTGAATATAGGATCTAACTCACTGTTGTTAACATTCCTGGCTGATCTTCCGGGATAGGCTTGTCCTTCCACAAGTTAGGTTCAGCCAGTTGACAAACTAATGCTTTATTTTATTTTTATTTTTAATATATATTATTAATTGATTGATTGATTGATTGATATAGAAATAAATATATATATATATATATATATATGTCGTCCCTTTAGGAGGGAGGGTGGGGCCACTTGGCAATCTGCCTCTCTCCTTTCCTAAGTCCTCTGAGTGGTTTAGCCTGTTCTTCCTGCTTCATTCTCTCCCCTCTCCCTTGTCAGAGTCGCATATCCTGGTGAATATTTTTGGAGGGCAGAGTCGCTTTTCTGTCTTTCATGTATTGTTTGCTAGGATTTTAGATGATTATGTCTACATGAAATCAGACTATCTGGAGTTCCTCTTGTATTATTTGGCAATAGCGTGGGTTTTTCTCTGTGAATCTAAATCTTAAGAAAAAACTAAATTAT